TGTGCCTGTTGCAGGAAGGAGTCAGGCAGAGAGAAAGGGCTGGACAGGTGGCAACAGCTGGAACAATGCATTTTTCTCCTTAGGCAAAAGAGCTGGTGGCCTATTAACTGCCATAGGATGCCATCTTCCCGCTTTAAGAGATTTGATACGTAGCATCAGTTCTTCCCCAAAGTCTCACTTTCTGTAAGAATTTAAGTTTTCATTTCAAATTGTCATGCTGGGGGTGTGAGGGTGGGTGTTAGGGGTAAGTCATAAGGTAAGGGGAAAAACAGAAGTCTATTTTCCACAGTTCTTTAAACTGCCTGCAAACGTTTCGTACTACTGCTGGTTGGCCTTCTCTCCCCTGCTGTGCTGATTCAAAGCTTCATAAAGTCCCTGCTCTTCTCAGAATGCAAAAGGAACACTTGTGACAGGTAGAAAATATTACTGCTGGCACTGGATTGTCAGTTCATCAGGGGAGAACCGCGCAACCAAAAATACTGCACAATACAAATGAAATTATGTTGTCCATCCCCTGGGAAAAAAACCCTGCATTTAGCACTTGAGATCAGCAATAATTGGATGCGAAGCCTGGGGGAAGACATGAAAAATTGGAATACAGAAAAGAAAGAAGATGTGATAAAGCAAACAACACATTACTGAGGAAAGAAACGTGTCTGGACAGTAGTCCAATATGCAAAATTTGCATAACACACACAACCAGAACAGAAATAAAGTAGACCAAAACCGTTTTGTATTTTGGCTTTTCAAGTGAATCTTGAAGCACTCCAAACTTGTGTTCCTCACAGGAAGCTGTGATAGGAGAATGGACTGAATTCCAGTTGGATACCTAGAACATCAGTTTACTTAATAAAAAAATACAAGCTTTAGAATTATGAAACATCCCCTTGAAATGTTTCCTAAGGCAGACGGAGTAAGAAGCACCCTCCTGACTTGAAAAGATCACTCGGTCTTTTCTCTCCCTCACAACTTTGCAAAGTTAGAGGATGTGCTTGTATTCCATATTGAATGATATAACAATTATCAACTATTCCTTAGCAAACAAAAATATGCATGTTTCAGAATAACTGGAAGCCTTTTCTAGTTCTATCACCATTTCAGATTGATCTGTATTGCTGCATTTCTGTTTTAAATTTAAAGACATTCAAAGATTAATTAAATCACTAAGTTTATGGCTTGGGTGTGATTAGAACAGAGTGTAAAATCTTGACCATTTATTAAAAAAAATGCAGCAAGCCTAAGCTGGGTTTCACAACTAACTAAGCAATGGTGAAAATCTGCTAAGGAAAATAAGGCAGGCAATACTGACACTTGTGGTCATTTCTAGATTGCTATTTTTTATTCAGTTACAAACATGCTTGTGATAGTTAAGAAACATGTTGGGATCACAAAGTAGCCAAGCAAATTACAAGTATTCTACAACGCTGTCCTCTCCGCTCTAAATGACTTATTGGAGAAGTATTCTTTTTGAAGCAAAGAGAAGAATGGCCACTGGCCATATACATAATAATTCGTAACACAGAAAATTAAAACTAAGCATTTATGACATTCTGTATTAACACATTTCCAGAAGGAAAAAATAAAATTCAAAAGCAAAAATAACCAACCTTGAAAATGTTGCCATTAATCATTTTGAACTGTCATTTGAAAGGTTTTCAACACATTACAGCTGAAATAATACTATATTTTATTATGATAAAATGGAATAAACTTTGCAAAGTATTCCTGGGGTATCCAGAAAGCACAGTCCATATGGGAACATTCAGTTGATGTCAGCTATGATGTACATACTTAGTTTAACTTTCATGGGACTCATGGCCACCAGGCAGAAAGTTACCATGCAGCACACACCTGACTATCGCGACCACTCAAAATTGATTTGAGAGACTTAAGACAGAACTTTATTTAATGGCTCAACCTTAGGGTCTGATTTCTTCTAAAACCAGTTAGACAAGATTCTGCTGATACCCTTTAAAAATGACATGTAGGAAGTTTTTTTAAGTTTTTTGAAGAAAATATTCCAAACCTACACACCTTTGTTTTGCACAAGTACATTTTGCATAATTCACAGTTGTCACGTGCACTGTTATCCTAAGTAGACATCTTTTCTGACTCCTTGCATCTGCTTCTAGCTTTGCAGAACTCACTGAACAGTCAAGCTTTCACTGGTCACGGTAACTCTAAAGTGTTCCTTACACACACGCTGCACATCTTCACATCAGAGTAACTCCTTCTTAGTCTTAATAGATGCCAGCATTTCAAACACTAACATTGCAGCTTCTAATTTAAGATGTAACCATAGTAACATTACAGAACATACTACTCCTTGGATCAAGAACAAGCAGTCCACTGACCCTTCATGGTGAGATTTAGCTGAAATAAAGCACATTCCAACCTCCAGCCCAGCAAGATTACTCAAACATTCAGGTCATATTTCCAGTACAAAGCAAGCTCCGCCCTCCTGAAATACCCAGAAACATACAGTATCATATAAAAGTAGTAAAGAAGAAAGTGCTATAAAAGAAAAGGAATTTCTTCCTGAAACTTTGACTCTAAATTTACATTAGTCACACCCAGATAGAAAGTAGTAGAAAAATCAAAGCTTTTCCTTACTTTTCTGTAAGATGAGACCTGCTCATTCTTTAAAAGCAAAGAATGAGTGAACAATAGAAACTGTTCATTAAGATTTAAGAATTCAGTATTCAGTTTGTTCACATGGCAAGATGACAAATTTTACGCATACCAACAGGCAACAGCTCTGCCTGAACTTTACAAGCTATGCACAATGATATGGTCATATAATTAAAAGCCAAAGCTGATGTCTGTTCCCTTCTAAATTTACTTTAAAACAGATTCTATTTAGAAAAAATGGCCCTTGGGATTTTTCAACCTTTAATATTTACTAATGAGCATTTACAGAAAAATAAAAACAGCTCTGCCTACCCCAATATGTAAACATACTACATAGAACTCACAAACCTTCAAAGATACACTTCAGGTATAGTGAAGCAGTAGTAAATAAATTTAGTGGAAACACTATGGATTTTAATAACCATTCTGTTGAGATTTAGACTTGCTTCCTGAATACAATGTTATGTGTCTTATCCGAAAATTCAAAAATCAGAGGCAGATTTACATGCTGGTATTTGAAAAAACATTACTTGCTTCTATGTAAATCAATATGGGTAAATTAACTACATGAATATCTCACTTGATTTCCTACTCGTAGCTCAGAATGCAGCAAATTGACAATACTCCTAGCCAAACTCTGTCACATATTTGTATACGTACAGCAAGAGATTATATATAGTTGTCTATATTTTATAGGGTAAGGATAAGAAAGCTTTGTGTGTTTAAGTGGAAAATTCAGTACTGAGCACACATGCAACCTTTCAAAGCACTGATTCTCAATTATTCATAAACATCCCAGAACAGTAAGTAGTGCTGAACACAGGTGTCTCCTCTCTCGCTCCACCACCCTGCTGACCCCCCTCCATTTTTTAAATACAAAATTTTTAGACTGGAGGAGAGACAAGTATTTACTGATATGCACGTTATATTTATAATTAATATTTAGGGAATATGCTCATGCTCCTAAAATGTCCTCAAATAGGATCATAGGATTTGTGGAAATTGTCATTAGGATAGCAAATGCATACATTAAAAACAAGACTAAATTAATGCAGAAAGTTGGTGTACGTAGGTGATTTAGCTAGGAGGATATAAATCTGACTATGTTTCTAGTAAATTATCAGAATATGCATCTAGAATGGCAAAACACACTGACTGCCTGGGGAAGCCTTATTTGCCAGTAAAACCCCCAATCCTGCTAATCAGAGATACCATATGATAGAGAAATTGTATTTTCTTTATCCTTCGGCTAAAAAAACTAAAAACACAACAGTCTAAAGAGCTGGTCATTAACTTTTCAAAATAGAGTGGACACACACAGTGACTAATAAATACCTGGGTAAGTATGCTGGTAGCTTTCTATTTCCTGAGCTATCTATTGGGATATGTTATTTATAACAGAGAGTAAATATAATAAGATGCTTCAGCATAGAAGAGTCAGTCATTAAAAGGAGAGAAATGAGAGGACCACAAGTTTCATTAGGACCAGAAAGACAAATTCTATAATATAAGTATGTCTGTAACAGACAAAAGACATTTTAGATCCATCAATAATTGAAATCAAGTGCCCCCGATTCTGCAACACCAGACTTTGACCTTTACCAAGGAAGAAAGCCATTAACAGCAGAAAGGCAGCTTAACAGCGTGTGCTTATACATTAGCATCGTCCAGCTTAATTGACTAACCTAAGATTACAAAAAGCAGCTTTTATAGAGTAAGCATGTGTAAAGGAAGTATGAGCAAAGAAATACATTTTTTCTTTGGCATGAAGGCACAAAAGATTTATACTCGAAGAGAGCCAGATGGGTTAAATCAAGCTTCAGTATTTAAATGTTTTTAATTCCTTTGCACTGCAGAACAGCTTTTGGAATACGGGAATAGAACGTCTAGCATTAAAAATCCCCTAGAGAATCATAAGTTACAGTGTCAAGGAAAAGTGAAAACAATTTGGAAAAAACCCTCAATCATTCATTTAATAATCATACAATTTTTATAGTACTCACCTATCATTGTGCTTAAACTGAGTACATATCATTTATCAAATAGCAGCAAGAGCCTGTAAAGCTTTCTGGCTGCCTTTGGATTTAGTCAAAATGAATGCAAACAATCACGTGGGATTCAGCCAGGCAATGACGTTAAATTCTGCTCTGTCAGAAGACAGCATCTGTCAAAACCCACATTTAAACTGCTGCCTGCCTGTGCAGCAGCTGACGAACTACGGAATGGATTTTATAGACCAGAATCCTCGGTTAAAGCAGCTCAAAACCATTTCTATTACTGCCTAGCAACAATGAAGGAAGGAGTAGAGGGAAATCCTATTACTGAAGGCAACTGAACCACTACGCGCTAGCACTCCCTGCTAACATTACCATTAGAAATATGGATACTGAGGAGAAGAAAACACAGCACTGCATCGTCCGACAAGGGAAACACCAGATGTAAAAGCTCCAATACATCGGCCGTGAACGCCAGACAGCCCCGATCAGAACAGAAACGAGAACTACTGTCCTTTTGTTTGAAGGATGAACAAAAAGCCCCAAGACAAGGACAACACTTATGAGCAAGGAAGGTAACACAGCAACGAGCAGACAGATGGACAGATTGGATACTGTGAAAAGCAATCGCAGGAAGCAGACTGTTGGGGGATGTGCGCATGTTCGATAGCATCTTTTTTGCTGAAGTGATGGCGTGCCAAAACTATTTTCTGTGGGTATAATCCTCGCACCATAAATGGCCTGACCAAGGAAGGTATGTCAAATCCTTGTGTGTGATATTCATTTGATTGTCTGTTACCTTTTCAGCCATTACAGATAATGATTGTTCCTAATTTGCAGAGCCCTGAGATAACATGTCTCTGAACAGGGAGAAAGAATTCTAGCAGGTTTTCCTCTCCCACAGCACAATGTCACTACCTTACACTTACTAAATGCATTGCTTTCAGTCTGCACAAGGTTGGTGTGGCTAGAGAGGAAGGATTAAAGGGATAATGTTGCTACTGTAATGATTGCTTTTAGCTGAGAAATTGAAAACTCAAACCCCTCCAATACAGAAAAAACAGTTAGAAATCCTCTCAAACTAGGTCAGAATTAATCCTTATCTGAAGTAATCTTAAAGCACTGGTAAAATGGCCATGATGTGACACACTGAGAGCACTGAACCATCAAAACAGACCACGCAGTCCAATTACATTATCTTAAGAGTACCTTCAGACCTTTCTTACACTTGCTTTTTCCCCCCTAAACACAAGCAAAATGTTCTCAGGCTAATATCAGCCAAACATAAACTGGGAGCGTGCAAAAAATTGGACACGATTTAAACCATCAGCAGTGCAATCAGGCACCACATTTTACAAGTAACATCAGGCTCCCCTGACATCCTAAAAGGAAACCTTCAAACACTATACACACAAAATGGTGAGCATATAACTTGTCTCATGCCATCATTACAATTTCTGTTTAATATGAAAACACTGTTTAACTTTGATTGTAAAATGACATTCCATCTAATTGCCATTCATTTCTATTTACTGTTGAAATTTAAATACTTCATCACTAATGGCAAACAAACAAGATGAATGTTTGCAATACAAATTTAAGACCTAAATTTATAGCAATTTAATACACCACAGAAAGAAAGTGCTTATCTGCAGAATCTACCGATAAGCTATAATAAATCATTAAATGTCAATATAAATGTGCTTTCTTTGCCCAAGGCAATCCTAACATGCAAGAAAACAACTGCAACTGAAAAGAGTTCACATACCTAAGGATGCAGCATACAACAGTCACTGGTTTCAGATCACTTTTAAGACATTTAGAAGGTAAAGTCACTTTCCAGAACTTTTAAAACAAAAAATTCTACCCTCAGGGAATACTCCTGGAGAAGCATGCCTAGCTAGCGGTGCAACTTTCGTATCTGACATTTAAAAACCTGCACATCAAACCTCATCCTGAGTACTGTTTTGTGCAAAAGATTAATGCAGTTTGTAAGTGAACTCAGGCATGTTATGAGAGGCCTAATATGCTACTGCTGCTGCTGTTCATCAGAATACCGGCTCAGGCTGCCTTTTGAACTCTTCCCTCTAATTAAAAGTTTGCCCACACAGCTAATCAAAATATGAAAATCCAGGACGTGTGAATGGGAATTCGAATGCTTCCATCTGCAAAGCTGTAATTATAGAGCAGAACTGAAAGTGCAAGGAACCGAAACACCAGCAGAGCACAGATCACAAATAAAAATTCAAGAGGCATTCACAGTTTATATATTTGGCATTTGATAATGCATCAGTGACTGCACAGTCAAGTGCCAAAAATGAAGTACAGCTATTATAAATCATATCTTCAAAATGCATAACTACATGCAACAAGACACTTTCGGAGGACAAGGTGATTGTATAGAGACCTTTTGCTATACTTAGGCTTTTTTACCTACTGCCAATGGTTGGTGCCTGTTTATAAGCCTTCTGTGAAATGAAATTTTAAATATTTGGGCAAAAGCAGTAACGCTCTAACCCTAATTAAAAAGTGAGAGAAAAATATTTCATGATGCTATTTAATGGTGGTTTTAATATATATTGATAGCTGCTTACATTATTTTTAAACAATGCATCCTAGCATGTAGTATATTTTAAAGGAGCAATTGCTATTGCTGTATTTCAAACACTTAATACCCACTGTATATTTTGAAATGTTTTACACCTGAATTGCAAAGAAAATGAGACACAAAGTTACTGGATTTTTTCAGTCAATAGTTTTATGAAGCTGAGAAATAGATGTGGGTCCTACCCCTATCCATACAATGCCTTTTTAAAGGGCAAACAGAGATTGAAGATTTTCTAGGAAACTCCCATCTTGAAAAAATCAAGGAAATACGTGAGAAATTACTTTCTTTAAATTTCTTATGATTCTAGTTCCATCCCCCATTAATGTGCACAATGTGAGCATGCAGCCTGGGGGGGGAATGTTTCAGCCATTACAACTGCCTTTTCTGGGACACTTTCTCAGTGCATCATGGAAAGACAGCACCTGAAAACAGTTTTCAGATTATGCAAATATTTACATAACTTAAGATTCTCACTTTCACCTATTGCCATAAGAAAGAAGGTGCACAACAAAACACTACCTCAATTAAAAATTAAACACAGATTAGTAGTGCAGAGCAGATTTGCTGAAGTATTTGCATCTAATGACTGCGGTTTTCAAAGTGGAACAATTCAGTGTGACAAAATTAAACCAAATTCTAGCTGCTACTCCACATTCGTGAAATTCTGGTTTTGACTTTCTTCCTAAACTGCATACGCATGCAATGGAACGATAATTAATCATGTATTCCCACTGTTGCCCTCCAAACTGGTATCAAACAATTAACTTCCCCGAGATCTAGGGTACCCTTTGAAGTGACATTTATGTTTGCTTATGCAGAGATATTCTTCCCAAATAGCTGAGCGTTCATTTAAAACTCACTGCACACTGCAGAGGAACTAAAAGTTATTAGTTTTGCGGGCAGGCTTTTATTTTCTAAGCATGCAAAAGCAGGTGCAAGTGGTCAGATAAGCATAAGTTCTACATTTGGGGCTTATTTTCTTTTACATACGGATGTCTGAGTTAAAGCAGCATAAAAAGAGTAGTGTGGAGTTTCAGGTTAATTCTCAAGCTGCATACTTTAGACACACATGTTTAACAGCTGTAGACCAGAAAATAATTTTTAGAAAGATAGCTCAGTCTCCGGTAAGTGGCATCAGTCCAAAGCGGGGCGGGGGGGGGGGGAAGGAAGGAATCAGAAATACTGTCAGTGAGCTTGAGAACAAAATTCATGAACGCTGTGTAACAGCACAACGACAGGGAAGAGCTTAATAGATCACTAGGCAAATATTTTGCTATTTCAGAAAGAGAATGGAGGAGCAGCGTCCTCCTTTTCGAGGAGGATACGTTTACTTTTAGATACGTTTACTTTGTCACAAACCACAGCTAAAATCCCCGCTTACTTGCTCCTCCTAGCGGAGGTTAGCAAGAGAGACAATTCCGACTCCGTGCAATGCTACTTCCCCCTTGCTTCCAAATACTGTGAATGAGGCATCTTCTGCATACACGTTATTTTGTTTATATATAAACTGACATACAGTAATTAAAATAAAGCTCAGTTATACGTCTCTCCCTACCCTTTTGAAATACAAATTTTCCCTTACACGAACCAAGCGCAGATTGAATGTTGTCACACACATACAATTTAATGATACATTATTCAACTGCCATCTCAAATTACTTCCTTACAATGTAAAAATCCTGTAATTTCCCATATAACGTCACTTAGTTTTTAAATGCAGAAATTAATCCAAATATTGGTTTTAGAAGATAACAAAGAAATTAATAAATTACACATTTCTATTAGAAATAGCATTTTCTATGGACTCTTGTTCAACTGTCATCCTTTTTCCTATACAAAGCCCTAGGGCCCAGAAATAAATTAGAGCAAATTGAAAATCAAACGAATTGCTACTGTGCAGTGAAAGGTTCATTTACGAAATGATGTGATCAGCTTTTAATATGCAGCATCACGAAGCTGCCATATTGACTCTGCTCTTGAATATGAAAAAAATTTAAGAGAAAATGAAGCACAGACTACTTTGGCATTTCTTCTTACAGTTACAGCTGCTGGTAACAATACTTGAAATTTCTGTATGATACCAGAAGTATAGCAGTTACATATAAATTTATAGAGGAAAAAAATAAGAAATCACGTTCATCAGATAGTTTGCCAGAAACTTAGTGCTGTGCAATTTTATTTTGAGTTAATATGAACATTTACCTAAGATCTCTGCCTACCAAAAATCAACAGCTTAATTTTACATCAATGAGCCTGGCACAACAGCCAAGTGTTCCATTCAATATTTTCCTTCATTGTGGAGTAGAAGGTTAAAGGTACCTTGCAAGGTGACCGAAAATGTTATCCTGCGTTACCATCTGAGGGCTGTGCAGTGAGGTTACCGGACCCTGAAAATTAATTTTGACAGGTGCATCTTCTCATTGACTTTCTGAACACAGTCGGGGCTGGTGGAAACATGCCAAGCACTGTACTGTGACTAACACAACTCTGCCATAATCAACCTTGTGCCGTCTGTCCCACCACCAATACATGACCATTTTACAAAAAAGGTTTTTAAACTGTGAGCCGTACTAGCCTCTGCATGTCAAATCAATTTTAATTAATGCCAATAAACCTTCCATCTGGTATCAAGGCCTTTTCATTCAGTCCTTCTCAAACACTGCAGAAGGATTTCACAGTCAGTATACATGAAGCTATTTACATCTACTTCACACTTTTTCTGCTAACATGACCAATTTTTTTTTTTTTCTTACCATCTTTGGTACCCACGATGTTTGTCAAAACTTTTACCATGAAAAAAGCATTTTTAAAAGCTAACACAAATAAAGTACTTTCATCATAAAACAAGGTTGGCTTTTAGCATAAAAATCAAACCTTGTTTATATTAACATGGGCTGTTTTTTAAAAAAAATTGAACTCAATTTTATGTTTATATCTACTTTCTCATTGTAACCTTTTATATTATGAGCATGTAAAATTAAAGACTTATGATTTTCTTTGTTTAAATCTTTGCAGAGTGAGCCATTTGCAGACAATTACTCGACATGAACAAAAGAAAATGAATACCAAAGAATAGCAGTGGATTCAAAAACAATCGGAAAAGCATTTTGCTTGGCCATTGTCTCCTATCCCACCATTGGATTCTTACAACATGCTTCAGTGGAGAAGACGACACTGCTGCTTTGCAAAGATGACCTGGAATACCAAAAGGTCTCTGTTTCGCACCCATCTTATTGGCCTGATGTCTCTCGTATTTCTTTTTGCTATGTTTCTGTTCTTCAATCATCACGACTGGCTGCCAGGCAGGGCTGGATTCAAAGAAAATCCCATGGCTTACGCTATACGAGGATTTAGATCTACAAAAAGCGAGACAAACCACAGCTCTCTAAGGAACGTGTGGAAAGATGCCGTACCTCAGACGCTCAGGCCTCAAACAGTCACCAACTCCAACAACACGGATCTGTCACTGCAAGGAGTAACTGGTTTGGAGAATACGCTCAGTGCCAATGGAAGTATTTACAACGAAAAAGGTACTCGGCATCCAACTTCGTATCATTTCAAATACATCATCAACGAGCCTGAGAAATGCCAAGAGAAGACGCCTTTTCTAATATTGCTCATCGCTGCAGAGCCAGGCCAGGTGGAAGCTAGACAAGCTATTCGACAAACTTGGGGTAACGAAAGCCTGACACCTGGCATCCAAATTGTTCGTATTTTTTTGCTGGGGTTAAGCATCAAGATAAATGGATACCTCCAGCGTACCATACTAGAGGAAAGCAGACAGTACCACGACATCATTCAACAAGAATACTTAGACACCTACTATAATTTAACCATTAAAACTCTGATGGGAATGAACTGGGTTGCATCTTATTGTCCACATGTTCCATACGTTATGAAAACTGACAGTGATATGTTTGTCAATACTGAATATTTAATACACAAGCTTCTGAAGCCAGAACTTCCTCCAAGGCACAAGTATTTCACAGGTTATTTAATGAGAGGTTATGCACCTAATAGGAACAAGGATAGTAAGTGGTATATGCCACCTGATTTGTATCCAAGTGAACGTTATCCTGTATTCTGCTCTGGAACTGGTTATGTTTTTTCTGGAGATTTAGCAGAAAAAATCTTTAAAGTCTCCTTAAGCATCAGACGTTTACATTTAGAGGATGTGTACGTGGGGATCTGTCTTGCCAAGCTGCGAATTGACCCTATGCCTCCACCCAATGAGTTTGTCTTCAATCACTGGCGAGTTTCTTACTCCAGCTGTAAATATAGCCACCTAATTACCTCCCATCAGTTCCAACCTAGTGAACTGATCAAATACTGGAACCACTTACAACAAAATAAGCACAATGCCTGCACCAATGCAGCAAAAGAAAAAGCAGGCAGGTATCGCCATCGTAAACTGCACTAGAAGGACAACGCTCCCTCTGTCAAATGTACTCCATGTGCAATTTGTAAATACCGCTGAACGCATGTACAGTGAAAATGGATGAGCTTAATGGGACAGCCTTTAGTTGATCCCCATCACATAGTGGAGTCTGAAAATTATTTTTTTAAGTTTAAAAAAGTCTAGTTCTTGATAACACTAATATTATGAAACTATAACCAAAAGGTTTTCCCAGCAAATTTGAGGAAAAAAGAAGACAGTATGTAAGGATTTTTGTGTTAATGTGCAATAATAAGCATGCACACTTTGGTGGTACAATTGCTGATTTATGTGCCAATAAAATATAAATGAGCATATTTTCCACACTAAGATTTTATTTTAAAAAATGCGTTCATAGCTCTAGTTCTCGTCAATGTAATGATTTGTTATCTAGAATATCTATAAAATGAAAAAAGAAAAACTAAGGAAATGCACAACAGGCAGATCAGTTTTACCTTCAAATACCACATTAAAATTATTATACGCTTCTTTAATGTACAATACATTTAGCAACATCACATTTACAATTTAGTAAGACGCTACCAATGAACTCTAACACACTAAGAAAGTACTCCCTTAAAGTAGGTCCAGTTTTGGGAAAGTTGATTATTTTGGTTAGGAAGGAGGGATAAATGAAATCAAAGCTCAGAAAACTGCCGCTTTGTACATCACCTTCGGAAATGCAAGCGGTGTTCTAGATTCAATTGTAGATTCAACTAGATTCTCCTCAAAGACTTGACTAAAAGTTACTTAATTCTCTAGAAGTCATAGGGTGAGCTCCTAAAATCTGGTGCCAAGTAACATTCATCTTGGCATCTTCATGCAAATTCATTGAATCTGCTATTAATTTCCTTACATAACTTCAAGGCAGCTAAGAGGCTGATCAGAAATGCAAAATGGAACTTCAGATCTTTCACTGTAGTTTCAAAAATGTCTCATTTGGTGGAAAGAGAGAGAAAAGCAACCAAGTCTTTGATGATTTTGCTCTTTCCAGCCTACCAAAAACAAAGGGTCAGTCTAGTGAAAAATAGGTCTGCTAGAGAAAATTAAGCCACACACCTTACCTTACAGGTGGGGAAGACTAGGTCACAATAAGATTGAGAGTTCCAAATAGCAATATGGGCAAGAACAAAATCTAAGCAATTTTAAAAATTAAAGCCACAACACGTACCACTGCGAATAAATTGTAAGAAGTAGGTTAAATCTATTTACAGGTTTCCAGTTTTCTAACAAACAGAACTTTTAAAGCTTATTTTCCAACAGAGTTACAGCAGAGTTGTATCAGATTCAGGTTATTACTGTTTGTCACAATGCCAGGGTAAACAATACCCACCTCTGATATAGCAGCAAATGATGGAACTGTGATTAGTTTTCTGTTTGACTGGGACTTTTTAATTGGATAAAATACAAATATTTGATGTACTTTTATTATTTAATAAAATTGATTATATTTATGGTCTTCAGACTTCACTTTTTATGGGAAAGCTGCTCAGGAAGAAATAAATTTCTAGCTTTAGCATTACTTGACTTTTCTAGTGTTCCCTAGTTCTTAACACCTAGTTTTCATACCATGCACAGAGATCACAGCAGGTTTTTTTCTTTGTAATGAAAAGACAAATCATATTACTGAGCACTCTCAGGAGCCCTAAGGCTGTCTGTATGCAGGAACTTACACACACGAACAGACTGTATTGCAGTGGACTAGCCCTCTGAAGAAATGCTAGGAGCTCCTATTGAAGATGGGTATGGGAATTCGCTCATCACCATTTTTTTGGTGATCCTCCACTAAATTTTGTCATCTGCTGCATTTGAGGTATCATAATTATACATTTGTGCATTTCCAAGATACCTCAAACTGTAGAAATGTCCGTTTCTGGGGAAAGTAAGTGTGTGTAAAAATAGTAACTCTCTGCAGAAGAGATTTCTCCAACTAGATTGAAAGTGCATCCACTTAGTTTATGTGATGACTATTGGCATTCATGTGACACAGAGATACAAGCTGCTTTAGAAAACATCTTTGGGAGTGTTCTTTCAACACCCATTTGTAGTTTTCTTCACACTCAATCTGCCTGCTTCCTTCCACCTAACGCAGGCCAGTTAATATCCCAGCTGAAAGCCACCTGGCTTAAGTTAACTATATGCAAGCTTTACACAATGCTGCAAGTTTTAGACAACCAGAGTGAGTGTTGAAAGCCAGCTACTACTCAAGGGTATTCGGTTCTGGAAGATGTACAATCCCATAAGTGGCCTCTCCCTGAGTAATGCTGGCCAAGAACACAGTCCATCCTCTTGAAGACGACTTCAACACTGTTCCCTGCCTTCGGCACTTTCAAGCTAGACTGTAATGTACTTTACTTGGATTTTACCAACTCTGGCTAGTTCAAAATGCTGTTACTGACTTCTGGGTATAGTCCAAGAGGTTAATAAGTAAATCTTAAATAGTTTGGCACTTGAATCATAAAGTTTGGCAGCCAAACAACCTCTCGGGTACTCCACTTCGGAGCTCATGCATGATGCTGATCTGCCCGAGCTTGGCAGAATTACGGTACAATGCCTACGAGTTCAATATATCAAACTTCTTGCTAGTTAAAATACTAGTGAGGAGTGTAAGATGTTAAATAAAAGCCATTTTTAATGTCCTTTTAAGGGTCCAACAATTTTTTAAAATTTGTATTAATGTTTGGGTATAAGTTGAAACTACTCTATAAATATATTTGAATCATTATCAAGACAGCCAAAGGCTACTGAAATCGTTTGTATCCAAGTACTGTTTTCTTGCATAGTCTGTTACAAAGCTTTCAGAAGCAGGAGGGACAGCTTGTATGATGAAATATGCAATTATGGAATGAAAGCTCTACATTCCATTCTCTGAATCTTTTTACTGTTTTCTAGCTTGTGTTTAAGCTATTTGCTCACTCTACTAGAATATACAAACAGGTCACGTTAAAAATAGTGCAATAATTATTTATATCATTAAAATCTTTGACAAGTTCTCTCACTTCCTTTCCCCACAAAGCAAGACAAAAAAATGCATTTTCATTAGCAATAGGATACAAGCATATATCTAAAAGTCTAACATGTCTGCAACACGGTAAAAAAAAGAAAAAAGGATAGAACTAGTTTACTCATTGAGGTATAGAAGTTTATATAATATTGCTTTAAATGTTTTTACTTCTCTGTGTGTCTGCTTCAGGTTGAAAACAAATACAAAAAGTCATAATGACTCAAAACTTATTATAGGAAAAAAATGCAATGTCATCAGTACCATCATTATGGCAGAGAAAAACCTTAGAAAAGTGAAGCATAGTAACAAAAATCAGAAATTGGAATTCCATAATTTTTCCCTATTTATTTAATTTTCAACTAAATAAAGATTTACACTGATACTAGATGACCCAAAATGAAGTCCCACAAAAAACTGTTACTCACCAACAACAGAACTGTTCCTTTCACATCTCCAATTAAATCAGTGATGTGGGTCATTTGCAGATCACACATCAATAGATTTGAGCACGGGAAATGCACATCTACAGGTTTTGGTGTAATACAACTGATCCTATCCCCAGCCATTGACAGATTTTTGATGGGTAAAGTTCATGATCTGTTCTAGTCTAAAAAAAATTACAGGTGAAGGTACTTCCAAGCCTCAGTGGTTGGTCTGAGGGAAAATTCAGTGTCCATTAAGATCTTCCCTTAAATGTTATAGATTATTTTTATGTTCTATAAATTTAAAATTATATGATGGCAGTGATCTAGAAGAGATGAGACAGTCTGGCTTTCAGGTTAACCTTACTACAATAGTAATTTAAAGTTTGCTTTTCTTTGCAATGCAGTAATATAAAATGTGTCAGTCCATATTTACAAAACATTTTCAGAATATATTAACATGTTAAGACATGCATTAGCTGTCTCAAAATCCATGCTAAATCAGGCACTGGAGGGGAGGGAAGCATCTAGAAGCCATTACTTTAGACTGCCCCCATCCCTATTAATTTTCCTGATATGTTAACACAATCCCCAATCATACTTCAATCTAAAATACCTACATAATCCCACAGTGCAAGAAAATCTTATCTTTTGAATGAATACTCATTGCAATGTGTGAAAACTTCCTAGGAGGAGATGAAAGGGAAAGGGAAGATGCTGATATAGAAGCTACTACTTCTTATATTTGTGCTATTAGCAAGAACAGGCTTGTAACCGATTTGCAAAAGCATCAGTAGTTGTTTACATATTTTCCCAATTTTAAAACCCATTTCTCAATCCTGAATTTATGCTGTCAAATAACACAAATAAATAAATATTGGACAATTACTTAATTACACTATGATAACTGCACCTATCAAATTTTAAGAGCATTATCATCCTTTTCATTTCAAATTGTTCTTCCAAAACAGCATGCGATTCGGGTGGCACACAGTCTCACCCTTGCTGACCACAACAATTTCAGATAGCAGATCATACCTAACAGACATGGCATTTCCTGTATTACTACAGATTACGCCTCTAGCCCATCCAGTCCTGCCTCCCCTCTCCAGCTCTGCTTCGCAAGACCTGGCCACTCTGCGAGGGGAGCACAGGGGGCCGGAGGGAGGCAGGGAAGCTGCACCACCAGCTATGCAATGCTGCACTGTGAAAATGTAGGTCAGAAAGGAGAGAACGTTGTCTTTGCTTTGTACCCACGGCAAGAGTGAAGTCTAAGGCTTTCCAGGGCAGGAGGCTGGGGGAGGGCTGTGGAGAACAACTTCTTGCAGCAGGTCAGTTAAAAAAGCTCTTGAATGTCAGAAAACAGAAGAGTGAAACTAAAAACGCAGCAGCTGATCAACACCACACAGGTTAAAAAATACAGGGCAGGCTCAGTGATAAAGGAAAACATTAAAAATGAGGCCAAATTAGAGAGCAGGATCTGAATTTCTACTGATAAAGTGTTTGCACTTCCCCTCTTCTGGAGAAAATAAAAATCTATTAGGTAAATCCATCTCACATTAGGTAAATCCAACTCACAAAATTTTTAGTTTGTGATTGCAGTGCGTGCTTTTTATTATGGCCTGAACCAAAGTAATTACAAGACATGACACAATGGCATGAGTAGCAGGTCAGTAACTCCACAGAGAGTATTTTACATATAGGACTGTTGGCACACAGTCAAACCAAAAGCAAAGAAAACTAGGATTTACATTTCATTTTAAAAGAAAGAGTTAATTCCAGTCTTCATTTGTCCCTGGTTAACTCAAAAGAAATCTAGCCTGGTACAATATGGTACCTTCCTTTCACAGTTAAATGACTGCAAAGGAATTTAGTTGAACATGGGATATGGATGAAAACTACCACATTGCCATTCTGATATTACCATGGCAACAGTTACAAGAGCTCTCAAGCATTTAAATATGACAGTTTTCATGATAACACTAACTGGATGATAGTAATGATGCATTTTGGTTCATGAGCTAATTGCTATATAACTCAAACCACAGGGTACGAACCATTCCCTTCGCTTTTCTCAAGACCATGCTTGTGGTCAAAATGTTCTGATCGAGACAGTAACCTTGAATTACTAGTCTCAGAAAAGTCCCTCCAGCACAGGGAGTAGTCATGGCTTAAAGCTTTATGTACTCTCAAAGGTTTCTATTTGAATGCTTAAGTTGTGCACAGTTGGTGTACAGGGTGGAGAACTCAAGACTGCTAAAATCTTTGACGGGATTTTTCCTCAAAGGGCTTTCATTTGCCTGGGAAGGCCTGAGAGAAGAATATGCTTTCTAAAGACTGAATTGAATTGCTGCTGCTATCTTCCAGGTATCATTTGCCCAAGAGAGGAGAAGGAGGAGGAGGAAACCGGTGGT